GGTTCAGCAAACAATCAGGAAATGGGAGAATTAGGTGAGATCTTGAAAGGTTCCAAGGACGTGGCATCAGTGGTGTGTCAAATTCTTGGACTAGCTCTGTCATCTAAATCATCAAAGCATAGCTTAATAACATCTCAGTACTGTAAGCCAATAATCACCTCTTCTTGGTCATGTTCTTTAAGAAAGCTGCAAAATCAAGTGGAGAGGGAAAACAATCACCAAGAAGGTGAAAAACGCAGCCCAGCCATGCTCTCAGAATTGCAACAGACAATGGCATTGGTAGGGGAATTGAGGAGGAAGAATCATATTGGAGCTGCGAGGCAGAGAGAGACTGTTGAGGAGTTGGATAGAAGTTGTGGGAAATTAGAGGATGAGATTAGAATTTTAGAGAAAAGAGTGAGGGACTTGTATAGACATTTGGTTTCAGTTAGGATGGCTTTATTGGGAATTTTGTCCCAACCCTAAATTTTAGAGGATAGTCTTTGATTATTGGTTTTTTGGATTTTGAAGGCCCAAAAATTGATGTATAGACATACACATTTTGATCTGAAATTATTCAGATTATATTCTCCATTTGTATTTTTTATTTTTGAGTGTTTTTAAAAAATAGTTTTTGTTTTAAAATACATGAAAATATTGTTTTTTTTTTTTGCATATGAAAATTATCAAAAAAATTTAATGTTTTAAAAAGCATCTAAAAACAGTAGCTTAGTTAAGATGACAAACACTGAAAAATGCATAATTGTTTTTTAATATAAAAGTAAAAAAAATCTAATATTAAACTAGTATTTGGGAATGCCTTTTTTTTTTTGGAATATTAGGACTCAAATAGATTGTGAAAAGAAACAATGTACATATGTAATTAAACACGGTTTTCTAGCTTTTATCATATTTATTAAATATAATTTATGAATGATTTTTTGTATCACTCTTAAACATTTTGAGTATATTTAATTAAAAATGAATTTTGAATTAGTTAAGAAAATAAATATTTATAGAATATAAATTTATTTTTAATTTTTTTAAATTATCCCTTTAATCCCTCATTATATCAATTTCTTCAAAACAATATTTCTAAAATTATTTTTTCACAAAATTTGTAGGAAAAATACAAACTTGGGCTAACAAAATATTTTGCACTTGAGAGAAAGGCTTGGGCTTCCAAATTGGAGTAGGCCTCGAAGAAAAGGGTTTTCCCCCTCTTTATCACCCTCCTGTAAACCCTTGAAATTGCCTTGTCACCTTCTGATTCCCCGATCAAATGCATAAACATACTCATAATCACTGTAAAGGTGAGCTCTTTCCCTTCCCTTTGATGTATAATTCCTTAGTTCATGCTCTCCGACTGAAGTACTCGGTTTTTTTCTTTGTTTTTATTTATTTATTGTGATTTTTTGAATGCATTGTTGGGTTCCTTAGAAGAGGAGTAGAAAGTAAGGATTTTGACATTTTCCCAGTAACAGAAATAGGAAAATTAAGGGGTGTTTTTTTTTTTTCCTCTAATATTTTCTTTTATCAAATATCATTGTTTGATTGGATGGAATTAGTGAAATAGAATAAAAAAATGAGAAAAAAAGGTGTGATCCCTTTTTGTACTTCACACTGTTTGGTTACTTCTTAATTTGCTGAACCTTGTTAGATAAAATTTCTTATATATTTATTTTCTGGATTTGTTGAGGGAATTTGAGCAATTGTTGATTTTGTGTACTGGGAATTAAAAGGGAGGTATTTGTTCATCCTAGTGATTATGGCTTATGTGGATGAGGATGGATCGTCGGGCTCTGGAGATGATGTCACCATGTTGGATGGACACAACAAGCGTCAATCTGTGACGCCAGGAGGTTCTGGTCGTGGGAAGAGGAGTCGTAAGGCAACCGGTGATGCCATTGTGGATGCTATGCTGGAAATTGCTGCTGCTTCCAAAATGAGGACGGCTGCTATTATGAAGAACGAGGATCAATTTTCCATCAGCAAATGCATCAAAGTATTGGATGAGATGCAAGGTGTTGATCAACAAATTTACTTTCTTGCCTTGGATTTATTTGAGAAACCCCTTGCCAGGGAGATATTAATCGCTCTAAAGAGTGAGAAAAGGTTGCCGTGGTTGCAGGGAAAGTGTAGTGCTACCCCTAGTTGAATTAGGTTTGATTGATCACTTTTTATTTTGTATTTTCCTTGGTTACTAATTATGGCTGTGCTATGTACGGACAAAATACTCTGAAGAAACCCCATACAAAACTAGTTTGACTTCATGATTGATGGCTGTTTTGTCAGTTTAATTTTCTTAAATGATAAATAACTGTGAAGTTACGTGGTTTGGTTAAGTTGGCCACATGATGTGGTCTCTAGGGCTGCTTGCTTGTCTTTGAAGGTCAATAAGCAAAGTAGAAATACATTGAAGAGAAATTACTTTTATTTATCTATATATTTAACCTCTTGCCTTGTGTTGTATATTCTCCATTTTAATCCAATTTCTACAGATACTTTGGCTAGTATGGAAGACTTCGACTTAGAATTGGACAATATGGAATTAGTTGCGGCTGCTGCCGGCTATTACTATTATAACAGTATAACTCGGCAACCTCGACATAGTTCGTCACCTTATGGAAGTAGTTTTATGTCTGAAGTGCTGGATGGCCCTGATGATGGATGCCGGGAAATGTTTCGGATGGATAAACATGTATTCCACAATCTATGTGGCATTCTCAGACAGAGAGGCATGCTTCGTGATACTGCAGGTGTTATGATAGAGGAGCAGCTGGCTATTTTCTTGAACATTATTGGTCATAACGAGCGTAACAGAGTTATCCAGGAAAGGTTCCAGCATTCAGGTGAAACCATAAGCCGGCATTTCAATAATGTGTTGAAGGCAATCAAGTCACTTTCACGCGAGTTTCTACAGCCACCACCTATCGCCACTCCTCCAGAAATTCTGTCCAGTAATAGATTCTATCCATATTTCAAGGTATATCTCTGCAAAACTATTCTATATCTTTTGTGATGCATTATTTTATGCCACTTACTTGATTTCTTTTTGTTCAGGATTGTATCGGTGTCATAGATGCTATGCATGTTCCTGCACATCTTCCAGCCAAGGACCAATCTCGATTTCGTAATAAGAAAGGTGTTTTATCACAAAATGTTTTGGCTGCTTGTACATTTGACTTGCAGTTTATATTTATTTATCCGGGTTGGGAAGGCTCTGCTGCAGATTCCCGTGTATTAAGAGCAGTCCTTGATGATCCAGATCAGAATTTCCCTATCATACCTGAAGGTTCTCTCCCTCTCTTTCTCTCTCTCTCACACACACACTCCCTCTCTCCCATGCTCACATAACACACAAACTTGCAGTAGTTTGTAGCTTTACCCAGAATTGAGGTCTCTCTGTATTCCATATCTAATTTGTACGCACAAACCATGTTTATCTATAATTGCATGCATGCGTGCACAAGCCCTCTCTTTCAAACTTGGAACTTCTGTTTTCTCTAGCTTTTATCTTGGGTTACTTACCCACTCCGTTCTTTGACAGGAAAATACTACATAGTTGACACAGGATACTCAAATCTGGAAGGATTTATTGCTCCGTACCCAGGAGTCCGCTATCACCTTCATGAATTTAGAGGTGCCAATCAGCTGCCCAGAAATCCTCAGGAACTATTTAATCACCGACATTCTTCCCTTAGAAACACCATTCAGGTGTCTTTCGATGTGCTGAAAACACGATTTCCTATTCTTAAAGTTGCCCCTCAATATGGATTTCATGTCCAAAGGGACATAGTTATTGCTGCATGCGTGTTACATAATTACATCAGGCGCGAAGGGAAAGATGATTGGTTGTTTGCTAATGTTGATGGAGCGGCTGTGGCAGAATTGCCAGATATTGATGACGAGTCTGATATACAGCTGGCTTCCTCCATTCAGGATCACATGGCTTTCTCATTACGAGAATCGATTATGGGGGCAATGTGGAATGACTTCATAAACAAATGGGATCAATGGTGATTGGTGTTGGCTCACTCTCCCAGTCTGTGAAGATGCTGTATAGACTTAGGCAACTAATTTTGACGCTTGATAGGTGTAGTTTTGCTGAGTAATGTAACTTTCATGTGCTGAACTTGTATAAAGTTTGAATGGATAATCTGTTGCTTAGCTTCTGTACCATTTGCATGCAGAAAATGCATTATTATTTGTAGTGAAAACAGTTTTAAAATCACAAATCAATTGGCGATTAGAAAAATACAAAAGAACAATTGCAATCATATAAGAGCATAAACATTTTTCCATATTTGTTTTCTGAAAATATTTTCCTGTTTCGTAGAATATTTTATAATAGAAAAATTAATCGAGCAATAATATACTTATAATATTTTTAAATCATTTCAACCATCATCTCCTTTTGTATTGTTGTCTTGTAGCACAATTTCCTTCTCACCACCACCTCTTCCTCTGCATCTTTTCTTTCACTATAACTGCAAACTATTTCATCATCATTTCCTCCACATGACCACCATTAAAAAGCATGTTGTTACATGTGTTTAGAGATGATGTATATTTATTTTGAACCAAGTGTGGGAGTGTATTTCGTGTTTGCTAGAAAATTAACAAAAAAAAAAAAGGTTTTGTAAAACTTTAATGGATATTAACCAATATTTCAAAAAATATAAAAATTTTATTTTGAGGGAATTCATTTATTATTCACCGTTAATGTTTGGATAAAGAAATTCTTAAAGGATAAATATCCAAAATATTATTGGAAATAATTTTTTATTATTCATTATTAATATTTGGATAAAGAAACCTGAAGTGGTAAATATCCAAAATAATTTTCTAGAAATAATAAATCCGCACACATCCTTGAAAGAAACCTTGATTATAATCAAGGACATTTCAATATTTTTTACTCTATGGTTTACGAATCGTGAGAGTATAAAACACTAAGACAAAAAAAAAATAGATTTTTAAAGCACTCTAGATTTCTAATTTTTGTCCCTCCTCCCTGCGATTTACGAGTCACAAACTCTGAAAATACCAAAGGAAAAATGAGCTTGTAAAGCACATTGAATCTCCTTGGATTTATTTCTTAATAAATTTAGTTATAATCAAACCAAGAAAAACTGATGGGATTAAAAAACACTAATACCATAGCAATTATAAGACCAACCAAACAACTTATCTTAGGTAGGGCGTACTAGGGGTGCTAACATCTTTTCTTTACGCAACCAGTCTCTTAAAGACCAGTTAGGTTTTCTAGTGACCATAATATTAGGTAGCGACTCCTTTTTACACAAACATAAAACGAAAAGACCCCGAAATCAATCGATAGTCGCCGCGATGCCACGCTCCACTTTTGAGGATGCGACATTACATATAAAATATTTTTTAAACTAAACATTTAAAATATTTTGCACAAGATAATACACATTCACAAAGTATTTTCAAGGCTACACAAGTATGTTTGGGAGTAGAGTTATGGTTGTTTTTCAAAGTATTTTTTATTAAAAAAATATATCAAAATAATATTTTTTTTATTTTTAAAAATTATTTTTGATATTAACGCATCAAAATGATCTAAAAATATTAAAAAAATATTAATTTAAACAAAAAAAAGAAATAAAAAAAATTTAAACTTTTTTAAAAAATCTTTAAAACACAAAAAAGGGGCATTACTTTTTGGACTTTCAGTACTGGCCCCTCTTGTAACAAAATACACCACACAGTACTAAACATTTTTGTCTATAAATTTCAGTTATATCAGTTGAACTTGTAAGAACTCTCCCGCGTTTTCCCTTAACTATCTCTCTCTAAAAATCATGGCCCCCCCCCCCCTCCCTTCCTCTCTCTCTATGACTGCACTTTACTTTTCTCTTCATGGTGTCTAAATCCTCAAATGTTCACGCAATCTTGAAAGGTAATGTTTGGTACAAGAGCCATTCGAACATGTTCGCTTGGATTTTTAATTGGTGGAGCCGTGGAGGGTTAATCAGTGAGGTTTGAAATCTACCCTCCAAGCAATACTATATTTTTGTCTTCCTCTTCACTTTTTTCTCCATATACACACCAAATTAACATCGTATGATTAACAGCAAAATCATACAAAAATATAACATGCCATAAGGAGATCCATTGTCTCCATGCTTATTTGTGATCGCTATGGAGGTCCTTTGTTGTATGATTAACAACGCTGATATTCAAAGGGTTACTCCCTTTTCATTCTAGATGCAAAAATATCTCATTGCCTCGTTTATCCTTCACCGATGACTTCATGAGTTTTGCTGATGGATCTGTTTGGCCATTCAGCCGATTTCATCCATCAGTTATCTGGATTGTGTAAGGCATAATCCTGGACAAAATCTCTAGTAGAATTCAACATTCAGAAATCATGCTTCTCTCTTTTACTCGCAGATTACATCTCATTTCCCACAGGCTTGATATACTAAATCAATTGGGAGTTACAGAGCTGAGTTCAACCCAACAAGTTGCTTCATCAGAGAGAGGTAACTGTCATTTTTAGAGGATAAATGAACAAAATGATGATCAACACAGTGATAATTAAGATCATGAAGGAGGTTACAATCAACACTCAGCCAGAGTGATACAGAACTGACAAAAAAAGACAGAATATACAAGTCCCTGCTCGAAACAGTCAAGTTGAACAGCAGGTGCTTCAAAGTCTGGACAGCACTTAGGCAAGAAGTCTGACCATGCAGAGTGAAAGTAGAGTTTGTTAAACACATCCTAGCAGAATCATTACAACGTCTTGCACTCCAAACAAAGGTAGCAGCATGTTTCTCGTACATCAAGAACATATCACAAGAAAGAAATACCTGCAAAAGAAATGAAAACTAAGGATCTGTTAGACGTCTATTTCCTTTGTATCTCTTTCCTGGTTGTTACGTGTGCAGAATGGAATAGTATATTATTTGTTATAGTCCTTAATAATAGGAGCATCCTTAAGTTTCGGGATTACCATGCTTGTCAGACTTATCATGTAGCCACCATTGAGAAGTGCTGAATAATATAGAAAACACAGAACAGAATTTTATCTTGGTATCAGAGCAAGGTATTCTTTGATCACCGTCTTCCTCCGTTCTTACCGCAGTTAACTACGTCCTGGCTTTTTTAATTAAAAAGCCAGAACAATTAATGAAGATCGAAACTCCAAGGAAAATCACTTGGCCAGAAATAACAGGAAACTCCAGCGAAAATCAATTTAGGAAGTCATGGTTAGCAAAACAATAACTTCCTGCTTTAATTAGTTCCCTTAAATAAATAACTTCCTAAATTAGCTGCTTTAACTACCCTTAAATAAAAAACTTCCTATATAAATATCGTAGTCTCATTATTAATTCCTATCTCTCCTCCCCTTTCTCTTGATCAAAACGTCAAAGCGTATCCAAAATTAAGAATCCCTTAGCAACCAACTTCAACAAGCAGAAGTTCTTCCCAATTTCCCTCACCAAATTTCTTAAACCTTTCTCATGATCTGTGCTTCGTTTTCTGATTGAATCGAATCATCTCATCTGGAGTTCAACATCGTTCTTGCTTGCTTGGAAGGTATATTCTACTTTCTTTTCTTGTTTTTTTTTTTTTTTTTATCTTACCATCTTGTTTTTCACATGGAACTATTGTTTGAATCTTTGGAATTAGGATCATTAATAGTTTCAATCAATTTGGTCTTTCTTGGTTTATATAATCCATGCTTTATGGAGTTCAAGCTAAACTGATCCTAAACCTATTTTACTTCCCACAGAACGAGCTAGATTAATGGAGAACAGTAGTGGAAGATTAGTGCAGCCCGGCACAAGTGCCAGCTCTACAAAGCTAGTGGGTCGAGCATTTGAACAGGACATGAAGGTGATACGGTCTTGGTTAATGGATGATGAAGTCTCAATCATTGGTATTTACGGAATGGGAGGAGTTGGTAAAACAACAATGCTGCAGCATATCTGTAATGAACTTCTAGAAAAACGAGATATTTCTCATAGTGTTTACTGGGTGAATGTGCCTCAAGGTTTCAAGATTGAAGAATTGCAAGATCTTATTGCTAAATATCTTAATTTAGATCTTTCAAGCAAAGACGATAATCTATCTAGAGTTGTCAAGTTAGCAAAAGAACTAGCGAAGAAACAAAAATGGATTCTCATTTTAGATGATTTGTGGAATTCTTTTGAGCCACAAGAAGTGGGGATTCCTATCCCATTGAAAGGATCCAAGCTCATTATGACAACTCGATCAGAAATGGTTTGTCAGCAGATGAATAGCCGAAACAATATAAGAGTGGATACTTTTTCTGATGAAGAATCCTGGACTTTGTTCATGGAGAAGCTTGGACATGACAAACCACTTTCTCCAGAAGTAGAACGAATGGCTGCAGATGTTGCAAGGGAATGTGCTGGTTTGCCCTTGGGAATTGTTACATTAGCAGAAAATTTGAAGGGAGTGGATGACCTACATGAGTGGAGGATTACATTGAAGAGATTGAAAGAATCAAATTTTTGGGACATGGAAGATCAGATGTTCCAGATATTAAGATTGAGTTATGATTGTTTAGATAATTCAGCACAACAATGTTTCGTATATTGTGTATTATTTGATGAACGTCATAAGATTGAAAGGGAGGTGTTGATAGAATCGTTTATCGAGAAGGGGATAATTAAAGAGATAAACAGACAAGCAACACTCGACAAGGGCCACTCAATTCTTGATAGACTAGAAAATGTCAATTTATTATAAAGAATTGATGGTGGTAATGCTGTCAAGATGCATGACTTGCTTAGGGACATGGCTATCCAAATACTGGATGAGTGCTCTCTAGTCATGGTAAATCTTACTTTCTATCCTCCTCCACTCTTTTTTCCCTATAGTTTAATCACTAATTTTATTTAATCATAATGCTCTTTGGTTGTATTAAAATCAATGATTAAGTTGTAGAATTTGTAGGCAGGATTCTATATTGATCAAGTAAAATTTATTTATTTATGTTGCTTAATGAATAAACTCAACTCGTATTATAGTTTCGTTCATTTTGCTGTTATCTTCAACTAATCGATTGCTATTTTTTTGAAAATTATTTTAAAATTAATTTTTAATTCAATGTTTATTTGTATCTACAGGGCTAAAGAAGAAGAAAAGGATGAAATCAGGACAAACTTCGCTGATGACAAATTTAATTCTAGATGTGTCATTTTATTATTATATATGTGCGGTGATTTCAAAATTTAATAGTATTTTCTTTGAACTAGAAAAAAAAATGGCAGTACATTTTTTGTTTTAAGGACTCCTTTTAGTGGATTTTGTCAAAGCTATTGATAATCAATTCAAGGCAAATTTAATTAAATTAGCATAATTATACTTTAACTGGTGCTTTTATTTATCTTCTTTATTTTTTTATTGCAATACTGTAATGTTATTTTTCGAGTGTATTTTTATCGACACTATCATGCACAACTTTCTTAACAGGCTCAGCTGAAACATCTTTCACTGTTTGTGAAACTTTAGCCTCGACCTCCATTTGCTTGCTAGTATCTCAACATTCACACTAGTCAACGAGCTTGCTAGTATCTTAGCATTTTACACTAGTCAATGTTTTTTACTTTGGAAAACATAGAAGACTGGTCAATAAATGATATCCCTTGACCTAGATGCATAGCATAAGAATATCTACTTTCATGCTCTCGATTTTAGTTGATTTTTCTTAACATGAGTATAAATAAGACAACCAAATATAGGGTGATTTTGATTATATTAGCTGAATGACTAATTGTTGAACCAATACCAAGAGATCAAAGAAGAGATGTGGTACAACGCTTTTCGTCAACATCTATATAAGTCTACCATGTATTCTCCGTTTCTTGTTCACATCCAAACAATTTTGCTGGTGTTTTCTTGTTCTTTAATGAGTATTAGAGATTATTTGGACAATTGTACCATTTCCAGATATCAGATTCTATATTTCCCATTTTTGCATGTTCCTTAATCCTTATTGACACCAAGTTTGTTTGATTGAAGTAAACTGATAAGCCTTGTTTTTGGATTATGAAAGCTCTTATTTGGATCTGATTTTAGGACTAATAAGATCAAAGTGTTTATAATTTGTCTTAATAAATTCGTTCTTGATCAGTACTTAAAATTACCATCCCTAGTCTTCTACTATAAGGCTAGCTAGATGACGAAGAATCAAATGAAAAACTATATTTCAATTCGACATCTCATCATCAAATATCAACTTATTTCTAGTAAGCCAAATTAGTAAGCCAAATTCTCCATAAAATTCCATAGGACACCATGATGATCGATTGACGCTGGAATTTTCCTTTAACAAGAACACTCCATTGAAGGACAGCTTGATCAATAGCTCTAGGTGTGCCTCATTTTAAGCCTAACCAATTCATAAATCGATTTCAAAGTTTCCAAAAATCTTAACATTGAAGAAGAAGGTGATCAACAGATTCTGTTTTATATGCACAAAATGACAGGTGGCTTGTTCTAGGTTGATGATATTTCCAGTTGCAAGAAAGTTCCTAGTACAAAATATTGAAGCCCGCATTGTTTTATACATGTTATTATTGCAATTGTCTTTGTTCTATATTTTTGAGTTCCAATGAAATTGTATTTTTTTAATCTTTATAAGTTTATATTACTAAAGTATTTATCCACTAAAAGCATCGTATTTTTATAGTGTTGATAAGGATATGCAATAGAATCGCCGTCTGGCTTCCTTCCTTGCGGTCAAATCTAATAATACACATTCATCAATCATTGAGTAGTTGTAGTTGAGTGAAGCAATAGGAAATTAATACAATAGTCAAAAATAAAAATAACAAAATTAATCTGAACATTTTGAACTTACACGAGATCCAACATGAGTGAAGTAATGGGAAAATTAACAGCTTGTACAATATCTTTTACAAAAATATTAAACTCAATCCAACAAATCAGATATTCTATTATTATTGCTATTTTAAATTATTATTCCATTTTGACGTGAGCAACCCTGCACTCATCCACGCCTGCTCAGAACCCGCAAAGCCGCCTGCATCAACGTTAATCGAGTTAGTTGACGTGACGAGAATCAATAAGAGAAAAGATGGTATTCTATGATTTACTCACAAAATACGACATCGTGTGGATTAGGAACCATTCAATAGATTCTAATTCATTAACCTTAAATTCCTAGTTATTAAATAGAGGAATCACTAAGAAAAGAAAGTCTTGAGGTTGGGATGATCAGTCAACCTGTCTTGTATGCACACAACAATTGATTCTATTTCATTAAACTTAAATTAAAAGCAAATTGAGAGATTGTATACACAGAACGATGCTTACCCGGTCTCATCCAAACACTACGAAAGGACGAAGGACATCCTTGGTGTTAGGATGCTCCCACTCCACTACTGACTCCCACCATTCTTCTGATTCTATATACATGATTATATCAGAAGGGGGAGGAGATGGAAGACAAATTCCCATCCTCTTCAGCTTCTCACAATTACTTACATCAATTACTCGGAGAGAATCGCAAATCAGTTTTGCACTACAAATGCTTTTTAGTTCTGGTAAATCTTTCAAGCCCAGTTCTATCAACTTCGGGAGTTTGAATTCGGTGTTTCTGATGCTGCTTTCTTCACCCATATCCCCTTCTTCATCCGTTCTTGCTCCACCTATTATCTCCTCCATTTTCTCACATCCTTCAACAACAATCTCTTCTAGGTTTACAAGGCGAATCCAAGAAAATGGAACCAAGATTTTCATGACACTGCATTTCCTTACTTCAATTACTCGGAGAGAATCGCAAATCAGTTTTGCACTACAAATGCTTTTTAGTTCTGGTAAATCTTTCAATTCCAGACATCTCAACTTTGGGAGTTTGACTTCGGTGTTTCTGATGCTGCTTTCTTCACCCATATCCCCTTCTTCATCCGATCTTGCTCCACCTATTATCACCTCCATTTTCTCACATCCTTCAACAACAATCCATTCCAGGTTTACGAGGCAAATCCAGGAAGATGGAACCAAGATTTCCATGAGACTGCAATTCCTTACTTCAATTACTTCGAGAGAATCGCAAATCAGTTTTGCACTACAAATGCTTTTTAGTTCTGGTAAATCTTTCAAGCGCAGTTCTGTCAACTTCGGGAGTTTGAATTCGGTGTTTCTGATGCTGCTTTCTTCACCCATATCCCCTTCTTCATCCGATCTTGCTCCACCTATTATCTCCTCCATTTTCTCACATCCTTCAACAACAATCCTTTCCAGGTTTACGGGGCGAATCCAGGAAGATGGAACCAAGATTTCTCTGATACTGCAATTCCTTACTTCAATTACTCGGAGAGAATAGCAAATCAGTTTTGCACTACAAATGCTTTTTAGTTCTGGTAAATCTTTCAATTCCAGCCATCTCAACTTTGGGAGTTTGACTTCGGTGTTTCTGATGCTGCTTTCTTCACCCATATCCCCTTCTTCATCCGATCTTGCTCCACCTATTATCTCCTCCATTTTCTCACATCCTTCAACAGCAATCCTTTCCAGGTTTACGGGGCGAATCCAGGAAGATGGAACCAAGATTTCCATGATACTGCAATTCCTTACTTCAATTACTCGGAGAGAATAGCAAATCAGTTTTGCACTACAAATGCTTTTTAGTTCTGGTAAATCTGTCAATCTCAGTTCTGTCAACTTCGGGAGTTTGAATTCGGTGTTTCTGATGCTGCTTTCTTCACCCATATCCCCTTCTTCATCCGATCTTGCTCCACCTATTATCTCCTCCATTTTCTCACATCCTTCAACAAAAATCCTTTCCAGGTTTAC